GGGGGCGGCCGTGGGGGAACCGCGCGGCCTCAGCCGCGGCTCTTCTGAGGAAAAACTGCTAAAAATCCGCTCACACGTACCGCGAGACACCGATCTGCGCCCTTGTGTCCTGTCAGCACGCTGTGTGGTGCGTGGTGCTGCAGGGTGTTGCTCCTAAAAGTGGTGCTGGCACCTGTTGAATCAGGAAAGATTAAGAAAAGACTGTGGGAAACACCCTTCTGACTTGTGCAGCGCCAAAATGGGCTGCGTGTCCTGCTCCCAGGAGCCGAGAACAGTGAGACCTCGTGATGGTGACAGATGAGGAAGAGGCAGACGGGTGGGAGAGACAGGAGGGCGCTTGCGTGGCCCTGAGCCGACGTCTCCGTCCGCCCTTTGAATGCGCTGCCTGCTTCTCTCTGGGTGCCAGCCAGGCTTGGAGCTGCTTCCCGTGTGTTTTCCTCTGCAAACCCCTTCCCCAAAGTGCCGGAGCACTGGCAGCAGCGTCTCGGCCGCATGCTCGGAGCGGCCTCCTCTTGAGCACTTCCTTGGGAAGAAGGGAGGCGTCACGGTTTGTCTAACTTTGTTTTGCTGGGCCTCATACCTCCGAGCCCGTCGCTGTTCCACAGCCGTGCGGACAGTGTTACTGCGCCATAAACGGGACTGTTAATGTCAGGGTAAATGGGTTTCTGCTTCCGAGAATTGTTCCCTAAAGGGCACAAGGGAGCAGCACTGTGCCAAAGTGCTGCCTACACTTGCTTTCCCAACAATGCCTTGTTTTGCATGCCTGTTGTCACCAAGGTTCTGCAAAATTACTTTGGATAGTGACTTTCACTCTTGCGTGTGTCAACCTTTATAATTAGGCTGTGCTTCTGCCCACTTCCAGACTAAGGAAGGTCTTCAAGAGCGGTAGTTTCTATTGACTTAATAGAGCCTTTTGATCCAAAAGTTTCTACATACATGCAAATGGATATATACTCTGAGATGGCATATGCAGAAACTTACACTCTCTCTCTCTCTATATATATATATATTTAGAATATGTGCCATAAGTTTATGCATATCCCACCTTTGAGCAGGGTTTACCGGGTGGCACATGCAGCACTGGGCATGGATGTTTAAGCTGAAAGTTGTACAAAGTGCTAGTCTGTGAACTGGAGAACACAAAAGCGTGCACAAGGAGTGAAAGTCCATTTCACCTCAATAGTCCATTTCACCTCAATAGTCCATTTCACCTCAAATAGCCCATTTAAATCTCTGTGGCACCCTCTGTGTACGGATTTCAAACTGCATAGCAACTCCCACAGGGAAGCGCACGTGTGTACGTGGACTTTGACAAGATCATTAACGTGTCAAGGTAGAGGAAACAAGATAAACCTTGATTAACAAACCCGAATTTAAGCTTTGCCCTTTTGAGTGATCCCTGTTCACAGGGAGCTTGAGCAACTCTCAGACAGACAGAACTTTATTTGAATGTAACCTTCACCCTGGAAGCCTGGAAACCTTTTACCTGCTCTCCAAAAATTCTTGCATAACAATAAAGATTTCTTTCTAATGGCACTCTTTCAAATGAGGTATATGGAGTGAGCCAGAAATTTGCCCTTCCGCAATTCTCTGAGAAGGGTGAGGAGTTTTCTGGCTAAAAGCCCCCCAACCTCAATGCTTGCAAGCAACTGAAACGTAGCAAAAGCTGTAGTAGATAGGTGGCATTTTGCTGATCATGCTGCTGTGTACACGAGACAGTTTCAATCCCTCTAGAGATTGTAACTGTTAGCAACACAGAAGGGACAAATGCTTAAAAAAAAAAAAAGTTTCTTCAAATAAGTTTGTCCTCGTCTTCCTCCCCGTATTGGTAGTGTATATAATATGTACATACAGGTATCTCTAGGTAAGTAATGCATGGATCACATGGAGAAAAACTTAGTTTAAAGCTAACATTGATCATTTTGCTGTGCAATAGCTTCTACAACCTTAGCATGGATTTCTCTTGACGTTTTTGCAGAGAAACTTATTTATCAGAAAACACTGATCTCGTGTTTGCTCCCCTGTTCTGTAAGCTATAGTTACAGTACATGGCCCTAGTACTTGGGGATTATGGCTTAATAGCCATAATATAGGTAAGACTGGCTCCATACTGGTGGTTCACACCTATAGTGAGGGTTGTGACATTTGTCCATGGCAGATGCTGAATTGTTTTCCCATGTTTTAAATACTGATATGGTTAGGGAGCAAAAGTTACTGGGTGCTGGGTGATTTCACTATATATTGTGTTTCACTTGAGCTGAGCAGCAGCCCTTCAGGCAGTAGCAGCATTGACCTAAGGAGGATGTTTTTACTTAGGTACCTGTGTGAAGGCTCTTTAAACTGGGCACAACGGTATGATTCCTTGAGGGGAGCAGCAGATGCTCTGCTCTAAACTTCCTCACCCCAAACTTCTTTTTTTTTCTTTTCTTTTTTTTTTTTCTTGTTAGTGGAATGAAATAGCCATCTTATGCTACAGGAACTATATAATTACAGAGAAAAATCTTAAACAAAGCTGGACTGGAGAAACATTTTTTGGATTACCTGCATTATTAGTCTGTTCATCCTCCCATTAGTTACGCCTTGTAACGCAAAAGTTAATGGTTAGTAAAAGTGTTTTCCATTTTTATTTCTTTTAAGTTTAAAAATTAACTATGCCATGTTATTTCCAGTAGCAGCAGGACATTTATTCTAGAACAAGCTAGTTTGAGACCAGTTCTACAATGGTATTTGAGCTAGACTTTGCATTATGTTAACTACCAGTAGCTCCGTGTTTGGTGGCTATCAGCACCGAGGAACTGGTGGGAAACTTCCCTTATCTCAGTTAATTGTTCTATCCACAGAACAAGATCTGGACTAACTGCAGTGAGATAGTCCAAGGCAGGTTTGAAAGCAGAAACAATGGTGGAAGGAGGTGGATTTACTCTGAGTACCGAGAGAAGTGTGGTAAGCAGGGATGAAGGTATGCCCATGGTTGAAGGACAGTGTTCCTCTGTCCGTGCAGTGTTTGCAAACACAAGATTTCTGACCCCAGATCTAATCTGAGAGATGAACCCCCATATTCCTTGACTGAGGATGAATATCCTTTAAGGACAGCAGTCTTTTGGTGTAACTATTAATAAAACAGCTATTCCTACTCCTTCAGTAACACTGATTCTTCCCACTCCCATGCTAACTTCAAAATGCACCTCTTTTTTTTTTTTTTGGAAATGGGCTTTTTATGAGAAAGGAGAGTGGTTGTTTTTCTTAGTTTTAGGAGGGATTTCTCTTTGGCTAAAACTGAGCTTACAAAAGAAAAATAATAGTGACTGCCAGTGCTACAGGCACAGCTTAAGCATTTAGTTGTACCCATTGGCTTAGTGAAAAGGCAATATTGCTAAACTAAACGAACAGGGAGATACAGTGAGCTGGAAAAAATGCTATTATGACCTTTTTCAGGATAGACTGGCTTTAAGCCTGAATTTGGCCCTGTTGCTTCAGTTATAACAAGACATCAGTCCTGTGTGGCTAGAAATTGTTGGAATCTTTATCTGTGCAAACTTGATAACCAAGAGCTCCTCTCAGCAGCACTGTGAGACTTGGCTCAGGCTTCCACTAAGGCTGGTCTTGGAGAACACGTGAGTGTTAGTGATGTGTTCTTGATAGTGCTCTCATATTAGCTGATCCTGAAATCGTGTTCTAGAGTGAACGATTATCATCTATCTATTTTATTTGTTGATTTTTGAAAATAATTCTGCCGGGAAAGCTAGACCTTTTCCCAGTATGCAGGTGTGTTGTGGGCAGTCGGGAAAACTGCAGGGAAGGGAGAATGGGCATATGAACAAAGGAATAAGAGGAATAAGATAACATATTTACTAGGGTTAAAAGAACACACCTGAGTAGGTGATAGGGGCATACAGCAGATGCACTTGAGGGCTTACACATTTGGAACTCTGTTTACTATACTTAGAAAAATGCAGGGTTTGATTTGCAGTAGGTTCGAAACAAAGTGGATGAACATTCCTTTGTTCAGGGAATTTTCTTCAGTCTGCAGTTACTTAGTGGCATTTTAGGGGTTAGAGCAGTTATTGAGAAGTGTTTGCTTAGGTTTTTGTTTGGATTGTCTATATAGCAGCTGTTTTCTGTAACTTCTCAAAGTTCTCTTCTTCTCTTAAGCTCTCTCTGAGGTCAGTGAAAATGCTGTGTGTGGATGCCCTGCAGAAATGCAGTCAAACTTCTTCCATCATGTAGAGATAATGAGTGTTTATTCAGATTAGCCGTGGACCAAAGTTCAAGTGACAACAGAACAGCACTGGACAATTTCACAACTGCATGTGACTAAAAATAAAGAAATGGGGATTTTGTAGTAAAAAGTTGAGTACATTTGCTACAAACGCTATCAAGTCGTACACCTGCAATGTTTGATTGCAAATCCTGGCACTGGTGATGTGTGAACTGTGGTCTTGATTCTTTTGACAGAAAATGAACTGCCTGGCAAAGTTGTGTGGGTGACAGGAGCTTCGAGTGGAATCGGAGAGGAATTGGCTTACCAGCTAGCCCGGATAGGAGCCTTGCTCGCCATCTCAGCGAGGAGAGAGGACGAGCTGCAGAGAGTGAAAAAGAAGTGCCTTGGTAAGTATAAATTACTTCATGCAAACACTCTTGCTGTGAGAGAGCTGCCAGAGGAATCCAACCCACACATCACAGTAATAAACTTCACAAGAGAAGTAAACTATGTGCAGCTTCACTGTAGCTTTGAAGCAAGTGGTTTCTTCTCTGGAGCAAGAAGGTTTGGGAAGACTGGCACTCCGAGCTCCTTAACATACCAGTAATCTAAAAATCTCATTATACAATGTCAAGTGGTTTCAAAAGTCACTAGATTTTTTTTTTAAAAAGGGAAGCAAATCTGAGGGATAACATCTTTTTTTAGAAACAAACCATGTAAGTGCATGCTACGGATGAAAAACATCTTCCTTCGTGTTTGTGCGTGTCACAGTCTGACCAGCTGCCAAGAACTCTCCTTTTTGGAAAAGGAATGAGTAAAACGTTCAGAAAAAAAAGTTGTTCTGATTGATTATGAAGTGGTGATCTCCTGCAGATCAAGAAGAATGAAGATGAGGCAGGATATTAACTATTCCAGTTATCTTTCATATGCCTGCTGAATCTGTCTCTGGCTCTTCCTCCTGCTTCCCTGCCTTCCTTCCCCTTTCCCTGCCACCATTTTCTGGCTTGACAGGGAGAGGGAGGCAATTTTTGCATGTTATAGATAGGAGGCTGTTCTGAACATATTTTTAGAAACCTAAAAAGTATAGCTGGGTATTCAAAAAAATCTCACAAGGAGCTTTCAAGAAATGCACAATTCCTTATTTCCATTTTCCTATGCTTCTGAAAAGCTTAGATACATATTTTTTTTTCAAAGGAGATAGATGGACTTAAGTTGACAGCATGGTTAAGGGGTAAAAAATGGCAAAATTCCGAGGCTGCCTGATGCAATGTTTAGTGGTCAGTGAATATGTGCAGCAGGTTGGTGTCTGTGGCCATTCGTTGTTATTACAAAACTTTGGCCAAATAAAGCAGGAGCCGTAATCCTGGATGTCCCCTCTCGGGCCCTGTTTGAGTACAATGTTCTAAGGAATATCCAGAAAGATTATCACAACTGATATGAAGCAAGAGGATGAATTTACCTAAGATAAATTTATCTGCTTTTGCCAGTTTGAAGCCCTCCCTGCCAAATGTTTTATCTGTGTTATATATTAGCTCTAAAGTCCTATGAAGCAATGCTTTCTGCAAAACTGTGCTCTGGCTGGCTTTTTTTTAGCTGTTAGTCAGATTAGTTGGAATATTGGAAGCTCTTCAGTAACATAGTTTTCTTTGATCTGGATGTATGACCTAGCCAGTACTGCTGTGATTCCAGCACATCTTGAGCTGTCACAAACTAGTGCAGCTCCTGAAAACCACACTTTCTTTTCTTGTCCTGTTGAGAGCTCCAACTGCCTCTTTAGTTATCTATTGTAGTGTTTACTAGCCCACATTAGATGTAAGGGGAAAAAATAGTCATATTTGGAATGTCCCCTGCTGCAATTTGTGCCCCTTGTCTTCTTGCCGTGAACTTCAGAAGAGGCTGGCTCATTTTTTCCACAGCTCGTTGTTAAGAAGGGAAAGGCAGCAGTTAGCCCCACTTCCCCTCCTCTCAAGGCTACCTGAGGTCAGCCCCCCAGGCTTCTCATTGCTCCGCGTGCGTCCTGGCCCCCAGCCATCCTGGCAGTCTTGCACTGCTCTCTCCCACCTATCAGCATCTGTCTCGTGCTCGAGGGCCCCACATGTGACATGGGACTCCAGCTGCGCCTGCCTGGCAGAGACACCTCAACAGGTTTCTCAGTCTGCTGGCTAATGCAGGCCCGCAGCCTCGCTAAGCAATAGCTCACTGCTTAGGGCCAAAAGTTGACTTAGGTTCAACTTTTTGTTGTCCTTCCACCAGGACCTCAGTTCCTCTTTTGCAGAGCTGATGTTGGTCTCACTTCACACTATCATCTGGGTCATTAAGGAAGATTTCAAAAGATTTTGACCTTAGAGGGACACCACTTATAGCACCCACAAGTTAAACTCTGAAGACTATTAGTCCTTCGGATGCAGTTTTCTGTCCATCTTTATTCACTCATCTAGACCGTATTTCCCCCATGTAGCTACAAGAGTGCTACATAGAAATCTACGGAGCAAGTGAACAACACCCACAGGCTCATGATGAGGTTGGTCGGGGGGAGTTTGCCTTTGGGTAAATGTATCCTGGCTGTTGAGTCACCTCCTTGTCCTTCATATGCCAGGAAATGGCTTTCAGAATGATTTGCCACATCATTTTCTCTAAGACCAAGGTTAGGCTGGGTGACAGTTGCCTCTTTGCAGTTGCTGGGACGTTTCAAAAGTGGCATTGTAGTGACTCCTCTCTCAGAACTTGTGGATTCTGGAATCTTGTCCTTTTTATATGTCTGGTTTGTCCCCAACTTGATTTTTCAGTGACATTGGTAGTATTTCTTTCTCCAGGAGACTGTCCTCAGAAATGTGGGTGACATGAGGGTGGCTATTGCTAACAAAGACCAAAGCCACCTTCCAGCACCATCCCTACACAGCCGTAGGCTCCCTCTATATTTGGTTTTCCTCTTGCTGCCACTCTTCCTATAGAAGCCCTTCCTGTTGCTCTTCACATTCCTCACCAGTCCCAACTCCATGTGGGCTTTGACCTTCCTAATTCCACCCTTGCATGCTTGGCCAGTGCTTCTGTGGGCTTCCTGGGTAGCTTGTCCCTGTCACCTACTCTGTGTTCATTTGTGTTCGAATCATCTGTAAGGCTGGAGTCAGATAGGCTGGATTACGTTTATTGAATTGCAATACCTGACACAAACATGAATTTGGCCGAATTAGATGGCATAATCAGACCTGACAGGTTCTAACATGCCTACTGTATTTGCTATACACTTAACAACGACTTATATTTACATATTAACATGAGAAGCAAAGTGCACTTTTTGAAAACAGAGACGTCATTTTAGGATTTGCATTAACACATTTTTCTTCACTACTAAAATGCCAAAGGAGAAAGAAGCAAAGCACTGTTAAAGAACTGTGTTAATGCCTGTTGAGTCACACCCATCAGTTCAACAGACTTCATGAACCTAGGTAGGAGGGAGAGAAAACAACTTGTAAAACTTTCTCATCTGATTTTTAAATGGCCTTTTTATTTTTCCTTAGGCCTTCTTTGCGATACGAGTTGAATTTAATCAGTAATGTTGTCGCTTTTGTCTTAGCAACTTCTAAAAGAAAAAAATCAGGTGGGATGGCTTCTCAGTCTGACCAAGCTCAAGTGTGGTTTAAATACAGATAGACACTGACAGACACTGACAGTCAGGGAATTGTACGATACCTGAGGTTGGAAGTCACCTCAGGAGCTCACGTAGAGCAGCCTCTATTGAAGGCTCATGTTTTGTGGAAGGGTATTGCACAAAATAGAAATGAAAAATAGGAGATGCTAAAGATAATCTTAGGGGTTATCAGGATGGAGAGTGTAATTGTCACCATAACAGAGAGCAGTGTGCCTGCACCTTGAGTGCTGGGCACTGCTCTGGGCAGCTGCCTAGAGAAAAAGAAAGACGAGGGCTGGTTTTAGTGGAGAAACAGGGTGGGGTGGGGAAGGAATGCATATTTGGAAGGGAGAGGAAGAGGTATAAATGGAAATAGGGGTAGCTTAAACCAAACGAATGGGCTTCATCCATCCAGTTGTGTAAGTACTAGTGACCTTTGAACAGAGGCAGTTTATGGATTTAAACAATTTACGTGTTGATACATCACGGTGAAGACAGAGTTCAGCCTTACCTGTATGTACAGATGTGGTAATTAAGGAATTGGAGCCTGGTGGTAATTAAAGAATTGGAGCCTCAGGCTCTCTGTCCAAAGAGCACAGCTGGTTGCTGGGGAGCAAGAATACTTAATTGTTGCTAGCAATCAGCTTACAATAAAAAATAACACTGGGAACAGATACATTGGAAATCATGCTATATCTCACTCAGGGGGGAAAAAACTTTAACATCGAGAATTTTGTTTTTGTGAGTCATCTTCCCCAAAGCTCCAGGGTAGCAAATCACTTTTCAAGAAATACTTTTAATGGAAAAAGGCAATTGTTCCAAAGAGACAGAGGTGGAAAAACGCAGCACTAAGACTGGACCTTGATGACAGCTGATTTTTGTTTCAGGGGATGGATAAGTTTAAAAACTTTGAATTAAACAAAAGCCTTTACTCTGTACAATAATCTAGCTTCTCCTGTGTGTCTTTTTGGGGATGAACAGTGCTTTTCCTATTGCCAGGAATAACCAGGGTTGAACAGTTTGTCTACAAACAAAATGTCAAGGCTGCCAATACACTGCTGCATCTGAATAGCTTGCTAAAAATTTTGGTATCAAGTAATCCTGTTGCATGTTACTTCTAACTACTGCAAGGTTTTTTTTTGTATTATGATGCACAATCCTTTTCATTTAATAAAGTCAGTTTTTTTACAAGTGAAAAACATAGGGTGTGGGAAGGGGGGCTTTAGTAGGAACAGGCTAAAAATGGATTCTGTGGAGGGATTGTAATGAAAACAATGTTTAAACTTGAATGTTTATCTTCCAGCTTAATGATACAGTCCCTTGGTGCCTTTTTCCTTAGCGAAAATGTGGGGTTTAAAACCACACTGAATTTCTTGCTGTTGTCACACTGGTGATTTTGCTTTTTCCCATTCCTTTTATGGTTGTTTTTAGAGATCAGCAACTTGGGTGATAAAGATATCCTTGTCTTGCCACTTGACTTGACTCAAAGAAGCTCTCACGAGGCTGCAACCAACAGCGTCCTTAAGCATTTTGGCAAGGTAAGGTGCCCTTCTGAGGCTGAACTTCACGTCCATCCCTATGACCTATCCCTGCATATATCCTTCTTTTGCTTTTATTCTGCCCATAAATTCAGCAGTTTCTGCACCTTATTCAAGTTTCAGAATTCAACATACAGGAAAGGACCTGAATTCTCATCCCTTCTGTTTCTGGGCCTCAATAGCTTTTACATAGAAGCCACAATGAACAAATAATCCTTGACCATTGCCAAGAAATGAAAAATCAGTTGTTTGATGTCACTGGATTTCTGGCCCAACTGTATATTTGGACTTATGAATCTATGGAAGCCAGAACATTTATTTTGTCATTTCAGTAATGCATGTAGTTTGAGATTAGAGCTACTTGGGTCAAAATTGGCCATTTTTGGCACAAATGTTTCCCTTCTTTGGTGCATAGTCTTCCAGCTGGGTAGTCCAGAGCAGATCCGAGGTGCTTGCAGTCAAATCTAACTAATTTAACTGCAGTGTGTGAAGCTTTGAGCTGGTCCTTTAGTCCACTGATATCCTGGTTTCATAGCAAAAATAGTAGCACTAGATTCGTTTCTTCCATTATGTACTGCACTTAGATCCTGTATTTGCACAAAACCTGTTTACAGAGGCCGCCTTGCAGGACCTGGACATCAAATGGTGCTTGCTGCAATGCAGTAGAGTTAAAAAAAATGGCAGGTAGAGAATGATTTTGGCTGTCAGTTCTTCTGTGTGAGGAAATTCCTCCCCCTTTGCTCAGCTCCCAAGTTGGCCATCCTCAGCCCAAGGGGGAGAGGTATGGGGAGAAAGTAGCTACCAAAATATTTTCAGTAGTTCTTACCTTAATGGCAGAGGCAGGACTAGAGGGAGTGCAGGTGCTAAAGGAAACGTGTGGTATTAATTTAATTATCCCTCTCTCTTTCCCAAGATTGATATTTTGATCAACAATGGTGGACGTTCCCAGCGCTCTCTGTTTGTGGATACAAACCTGGATGTTTTCAGTGCCATCATGGAACTTAACTACCTGGGTACAATCTCTCTAACAAAATATGTCCTGAATCACATGATCCAAAGGCGAAAAGGGAAGATTGTCACCGTGAGCAGCGTGATGGGTATCATGGGAGCCCCTCTTGCCTCTGGGTACTGCGCCAGCAAACATGCTCTGCAGGTGAGTTACATTGGCAATTAATTATATCTTGTTATGTAATTAACCAGCTTGTTTTAGTGCTGTAGCAGCTGTTCCTTATGGGGGACTTAGGCCCTGTACAATTTCAGGTGAGACTGCCATTCTCTGCACAGAATAAATATAACTTAGCTGCTAAAGGTTCTTTAATTTGCTCTGAAACTTGTGATTCTGGCTGAAAGACTTAGGAGAGGTTGCATTTTTTTTTCCCCTCTGGCTTCTACTGTTGCCACCTCTGTATTGCCCTTGAGTTGGACTTCAGGCCCTTCAGCTAAGAGTAGCACCAGAAATTCCTCACTAATTATTTTTTCTTCTCAAAACACAAGTTGAGCCTAAGGGGCCTGTAAACTGGAGAGCTGGATGTCCTGGTGTGATGCTGCTATAGGAAAGAGATAAAATAGAGAATAGATTATTTTTTTCTAGAGGACAAAAGCCCTTTATAGACAGTGTTTATATACATGAAATCCTATTGAATAAAACGGGTTACAGAGAAATATTCTGCTCTTAAATATACCTATGTTTTTAATAGTATATCATTTGGTAAATGGGAGAACTTCCACTCCTGACATGGCTGCAGCACTTGCCCAGAGCTTAGATTCCCTTGTGCTACTTCACATCACATCCATGCTGTGAAAACATTTATACTGTGATTATAACTTGTGGGGAAATGTATCGAGCACTGGGAATTGTAAGAAGCATTGCTTGAGTGCTGTGCTGAGAGAGCTCAGGTTCCAGTGTAGGTTTATGGCATTGAACAAATTGCAATCTTAATTAGGCCTAATCACGATATACTGAAGCTCCCAATGTGAAACAACCACTTTGCCTCTGGCCTTGTCTTTTCACCACTGTTTGAATTCCACATTGGCTGCGTTTTGAGTTCAGTAAGCTAAGAGGTAGCTGTAGTTGGTGATTATAATAAAAAAGGCACCTTCTTACTCCCTGCTGGATTTAAGGACATAAACAAAGTATGTAACTCTGCTTCCTTTTTTGAGCCATTATCTCTTTGAGGATTTAACTAACAACAGTAACAAGAAAAAAAAAAGCAGTTATTTCGCAGCCAAGGCTGGAAAGCCTGGACATATGAAAGACTAAAGGTGTGGAGGACAGTGACAGGTCTCTGCTACCACATTCATTTGTTAGTAATGGGCAGAGAACTCCAGTTACTCTTCCTTTAGCTGGAGGTCATGGAGTTGCCCTTTAGAGGCTGGCATTTGATTTATTTTGTTAGTAATGGGCAGAGAAGTCCAGTTATTCTTCCTTTAGCTGGAGGTCATGCCCTTTAGAGGCTGGCATTTGATTTAGGTCTGGGGTTTAGATTAGAAAATCACAAAGCAGCAGCACGGTCTCACCTCTGCTCCTGTATTTATTAAGCCTTCTTTCAATGGAATTACCCTTAGGTGTGGTGCAGTTGGTCTAAACATCCGAGGAATCCACAGGTTGCTGTGTAAATTCTCTGCAGGGAGCTAAAGTGTGTTAACACTGAGAATGTGGAAGAGGAAGCTCGAAAGAAACAGGATATTAAAATTGCTGTGTTATGTAAGAATGAGCTAAAAACCAGATGTCAGCAATTCGCTTGGTTACAGTGCCTGTAACCCCTGTGTTACGGGACCTTCTTGAACTGCAGATCACATTTTGGCCATCAGCTATTACATATGTGTCTATCTGATGTAAATTCATTTAATAGATTTTTATCATTGTTGATTTCAAGTTATGTCTTGGAGTCTACTGTGGCATTTAATGCCATAATCTTAAATATGCCTTGTTTGAAAACGTGCCATCTTTTGTCTTTTTTCCTTTAATTTTCTTTTAAATGGCATTAGGGGATGAGGAGGGAAGGAAGCACTTCTATTACAAATTAAAATTGGTCCTTGAAACAAGCACATGTTGATTTGTCCAAATTGGAATTCTTTGCAACATTTTACTGATGAAATAGCCCTTTACTTCAGATCTGGAAGGCCCGTAAGAGTGTGGTGCAAGTCCAGGAAAGTCCAAGTCTGATGCTGTTTCTTTCCTGGTGTAATGACACTTGTGGGGATCATGTGCTGTTCATCTAGTTCCCAGTTCATATAATTAGTGGCGTGTCCAGTCTTCAGGAAATGGTGACCTTCAAAAAGCTCCCTCATCAGGACTTGGTCTAATAAGCACATTGATTGCCCCAGACAGTAACTGCTACTGTCCTTAAGTCCCTGATTATTGGGAGAATTTCAGAGTGTCTCTGCCTTTCTAGAGGGCAGTTCAGCCTGGTCTTCAGCACCTGCTGGGACTTGCTTGCTTGGACCTTGAAGAGCTCCAGAGGCTGAAGTGGTTCCTCTTCAGGTCTCTTCCTTGCTGCCTCCCAGGGGTTTGGAAAGCTCTTCCTTAGTCTGCTTTGAACCGTTCACTGTTGATGGAATAACTAGAGCCCCCCTTGGCACCGGGGTTTTTTTTCCTTGCCCTGTGTTCAACACAGTGTTGTCAGCTGGACTGAGCACAGACTTGTCTGATGACAAGTGAAGCTGTGAGACTCGTTGGTTCCCTTTCTGAAGCCTCTAGGAAGGAGTGATCGAAGGGTAAATTTGTGCTAGGGTGGGAGAGGTCCATCAGCCTGTGCCATGTCCCTGCTGTGGGACGCTTCCATGGAAAGCAGGTTCCGGTGTTCCCCCGGCACTGCCGCCTGCTCAATGCCGCGGAGGTTCGCAGAACTTGGACCCTGTTAGCTTAAAGACAAATATTTGCAGCTTTTGTAACTAAAGCCTAACTTGGGTGCTTTGGTAGCGTGTTTATATCCGATGTGGTCACAATTTTCAAAAATCGCAGTAAATTCAGTGGTGCAGAATTGAACCCCCTAAAATATGAGGGTGCATCTTGACTTGATTTGAATTTGACTCCTCTTTTGAGTAAATCTATTTATTCCACAGAAACAGTCTAAAACCTTTAATCTCACCACAAAGCACCATCCACCTGCAAGGAAAAGATTTCCATGATATGGAAGCTCTTAGTCTGGCAGCACTTCCACCATTCGTTTTGTGTATTTGAGAGGTCCAGGACAGATTGCTTGGTGATGTGTATATATATAATCTTATACTATCAACGTATGTAATTGCTGTTAAAAATTTAAAGTAGTTGTTGAATGTGAAAAGCCAAACAAAATGGTAGGAATTGCGTTCAGTGGAAACTTATGTTACAATGTGCTGGTTAAGGTGCCTTCCCAGGAGGATCTTTTTATGAAGTCTTTTCTTCTAGGGCTTTTTCAATTCTCTCCGGACTGAGCTCACTGACTACCCTGAGATAAGTATTATAAACATCTGCCCAGGACCTGTCCAGTCTAAGATTATACAAAACGTCTTTACGGAGAATCTTGGAAAGGTAAGAAAAATCTTTCCCCCTTTTCTGGGGGGAAAAAGCAGTATTTACCCCCTGAAATGCCACTGTGATAAATCTAACTTTTGTAGCAGGCACAACGAACCTTTTGTGGTTTCCGTTTTCTCCTAGCAAACATTAAGCCCATCTTCTTATCAAGAAGCACTCTGGCATAGAATTTATGCTATAAAGCTGCACTGTGATGCTATAGGCAGGTCATTCTTGCAGTTTCAAGTCCCTAGTGGATGAAAGCACCACCTGGGAGCTGTCCCGCCTCGGCTCTTCCCGTGTATAATCCCTGTGTAGCAGGGCTGTCCCGGGAGAAGGGCCGGGAGCGGCGGCACCGTTTCTTGGCCCCATTCTGCTCCCCCCCGTTCTGCAGGCAGCTGAGCCAGGGCACGGCTGTGGGGGCTGCTGGGGGGAAAAAGCAAGACCTGCTGGCTGCCCAATTGCTTTTAATAAAGGCTGTCTGGCAAAATTGCTAGCAAAAAAACTTTACTAGGCCACACTCTGGTAGTATGTCCTAAATTCAGTGCACTTGAAGCTTATATCTGTGTGAGTGTCTGTGTGTGGAAGATCCTCCCTCTGTTCAAATTCTGAAGGGATTTTTGGCTTGCACAGCTACATACTTGCTTGAAATCAAAACTGTTCTTTCTGAGCAACTGGGAAATCTTGCAAAACGAATTCCTCAGACTCCTGCATGGCAAAAGACCTGGGAGGAAGACAAAATCCATCCTGGAATTTCTTTTGCTCCACAAAATGGGACAGATTGAGCCCTGAGCTGTTGCTAGAATAAAACGTACATAAATTCACAGGGCTGTGGCTGACGTTTGCTCAGCGATAGTGTGAGAGGAGGTATCGTTGCCACTGAACTGGCTTGATGCTCTTCCCTGGTTTGAGATGACTCCCCTAGAGCAGGGCTGGCAGGATTCCAGGTGAACGGGGCTTGTCTTCTCCTGAATTAGTGACAGGGACCTGTGCTACAGCATCAAGAGGTGGCCGGGGACAGGAAAGCCTCCCCGTTCCACAGCCCTCACCTGCAGAAAGGCTAATCGGGTTCCAAGAGGGTGAAACAGGCGTCTCCCAGGCCCGGCTGCAGCAGCCCCTTGGCCGTGATGTGCTCATGTGAAAGCTGCTTCCTATCAGGTGGGCGTGGAAGGCAGGTGCCTGGTAGGTTTTTCCCCAAGATCCCAGAGCGTTAGCACAGCCGGGGACAGGTTCCCAGCCCTGTCTCTTCTGCTGGCCTGGCTAATTCTGCCTTTGCGCAGTGGAGAAACTGGGAGGAAAATTTGGATGCGTAGAGTATCAAAACTCTGCATCTCCCGCCTCTGCTCCCCAAAAGAAAGCAGTTTGGATCCCGCTCTTCTCTGTCTCCCCCAGTCCCTGGAGAGCAGCGGGGACCAGTCGCACAAGATGAGGACCGACCGCTGCGTGCGGCTCACGCTGGTGAGCACGGCCAACGACATCAAGGAGGCCTGGATCAGCGACAACCCCTACCTGGCCGTGTGCTACCTGTGGCAGTACGCGCCCACCTGGGCCTGGTGGCTCATGAACAAGATGGGCAAGAGGAGGATCCAGAACTTCAAGAGCGGCGTGGTGAGTTTGTGCCCCGCTCCTCCTTTGATGCTCTGCTGACAGCCTCGTTAGCCAGGGAATGTCGGGACTGGAGTTGGGCTCTGTTCCTCTTCCTGCCCGTGCTGGGCTGGCTGCGGAGTCTCGGATTACGGTGGGAGCAGGAGCAGCGCCTGGCGCCCTGCCCGGCCTCGAGGCACCGGTAAATCATCCAGCATGGCTTGACCCCAAGGCTGTTGACAGGCGGAGTCCGGCCTGGGCCTCGTGGTGTATCATGGGCCCTGTCATGCGAGCGCTTCCCAACAACCCAGCGAGCAGCACTGCTGCCTGCTGCTGCTCCGTGCTCCCATTCCCACGTGCAGAGGGGCATTCCAGCAGGGCTGCTTCGCACAGGGTGTTTTTCGTACTGTGTTTCTATTGAAAACCTATTTATGGAAAAACATACTGATGTGCTCCAAAAGCAGGAAATGGAGAAATTCAGGTGGCTCATGCTACCTCAATCTTCCTTATTCCACAGTAGCCCCATCACAAATTCTTTATAGGCAAAACAGCACTGTGGGTAAAGATCCTAAAACTGAATACAGTAGAAACTATGGAGGAGAAAGTGATTTTATGTATTTTCATTCCAGGACGCTGATGCTTCTTACTCGAGAAAGAGTAAGTGAGAACAAACCTCACAAAAGGCTGGTGCTGAGAGCAACTTTTTTGAATTGCGTGACTGCAAACAAAAACTTTGTGTACTCTACAATCTGTTCTGCTTTTGTCATCATGTAACTTGACAAATATATCAAGCTGTATACACACAACTGAATAAAAATCTGTTTATAAACATATCTGTTTTATGTCCTTGCCCTGATTCTCCTGAAGGGGATCTTTAAGCTTACGAGAATTGAGACAGAGCAACAGGGAGGCTTCTTTTTTTCTGCTGCTTTGACTTTCTAACTATTTGGTGAGCAGGCTCCAAATTAGACACCAGCAGGATCCTAATTCCCTCACCTTCTTTCCTAATGAATCTCAAGCAAAAAGCTCTGTAAGGTGGGAAAGCTTGCAGCATGAAGGTCAGGGTGAATAATCTGTTTGTGGAATGTTCCTTTTGGGGGAAGAAAAGCTCCTGTGTGTGAGGTCAAACCTCTGAGCTGTGTCGCAGTGCTCAGGTCACTTCACCTCCGTCCCTGCCGAGTGCAGAGGTCTCCGTGTTCATGTTGAGCCAGAGCTTCACAGGGCACAGGGTGTAGAGAAGCAGGGGAAAGGGGAGAGGGAAGAGCTTGAAGTCCCCCGTGACCAGCACTTCTGTCTCAAACGCTGGTGCAACTGCAGCCCCTCTCCTGCCCTGCAACAAACCTCTAAAACAGCAAAGAGGAGCCAGGAAAACGCTCCTGTGCTGCAGGAGCCTGTGGCTAGAGAGGGGACTTGAGGTGGGCACAGAATGAGTGAAAAGTCCAGGTAACAGCAGCCTGCTTAGAACCCAGACAACAGGTCCAGTTTGAGAGCTGAGGCAGGGCAGACATTGCATCGTAGGTGACTTCAGTGTCAAATAACTTTGGACTTCACCTGCATGCGGAACAGAAGTAAATCCTGACACCACAGAATCATCGTGCTTGGAAAAGCCCTTCAAGGTCCTCGGGCCCCGGTGGTGTGGCGCGAGCTCCGCTCTGCAAGGATTTATTCGTTACTCTCTGTAATTGCATCACGTTGTGCTTGGGAGACTGCAGGCAAGACCAGACTCGGAGGTGCCTCCCCCACAAACTCCCAAAATTCCCAAACGGAAGAAGAGCGAAGACCAGCAGCGAACTACAGGAGGGACTCGTGTATTGAAAGGGTTTTTTTCCAAAGAGTCTCGGTATGGA